TGGATCGTCGAAGTTGTCTTCGCCGACAAGGAGGTCTGTCGGATCCAGTTGCAGCGGAGGCTCCACGTGGAACGACGGCTTGCAGAGCCTCATCACCCTGAACGCCAGCTAGTGCATTCCTTGCGGCGACCCGCTCATTATCGTCGTCTACGATTCTACAAGTGCCAGAAAGGAATTTTGCTAACAGAATCTGAGAATTTAAATTCGGTCGGAATTCGAGCTTCCGTTAACAGCAAGACTTTGCAGAGTCTGGAATTTCGGATAATTAACAAACTTGGAAACGGCATAGTGGACTGAACACCACATAAGCGACAACGTTTAACCTCTACATATTAATACCATGTTTTGGAAGCCTTTCCCAAAATAAAACAATAAAATGAAGTCTGCATCATAAGAAATCCAAATCGTGATATTGTGGTAATTCCCTTCTATCAATTACAGTTTGTCACACAAAAAAAAAAAATGAAATTACAATTTGACATAAAAAATTAATTATTTATTTGTGGATGTATAATTCACAATTTTTACATGTGGACTGAATCAAAATCATAGTATTAGCTATCCTTTTTAAACGGGCTTCAAATCAAATTCTTCACATACCATTATAAAAACATAAACTCTACTCCGAGGTTGGTTAAGTGATCATGGGCCTCCTGAATCGTTTCTCAGGAGGAAGCTTAACGGTGGCGCTGGTGATGGGATTTAAAAGATGAATGGCTTGATTGGCAACGGTGAGAAGCCAGCCATGAGAGGATGCAGTATACCATCCTCCCTGGAGTTGTGGTAGAAAAATCCTGTGGATTTTGTGGGAGCAATAGTTGTAGATCCGACAGCATTGCCGGCCTGTTTGATTCTCCGGCGGAAGCAATACTAATAGAGCGTTGGATTTGAGTCCGGGATAGCGTGAATAGAGTAATCGAGCGGCATATTGCCAGGAGACACAGACCACGCGGAGAGCCAACTTGAAGATGACTTCTGGGTCGGTGGTACTCGACGACATCGACGGAGGAAGGGCTTATGAGCGAACTGTTAAAAGCTAACGGAAGGATGGTGCCGGTGTTAACAGAGGGGGTGATTTGCCACTGTAGGTGAGTTGAGGGGGTGATTTGCGCGTGAAGTGGGTTGAGGGGGTGATTTACCACCAATGGTTGAGTTGAGGGGGTGATCTGCACCTTTTGCCTTTTGACAATGTTTGGTTTTGACAGTGAATTTCAAATCAAATC